TTCTTGATGAATATTGCTTAGATTGTTGAGCAACATTGCAAATTGTCTCCTTGCTTGGAATTGATGTATGTATAGCAAGGAGATTATTTCCAAGACTGAATTGAGTTTGCCTTGACCCTCTTGTACCACCTCTTGGCATCCCTTACTAACGTGACTGCGAAACAGCTACACTTTGCCAGTCATAGACGACGCAACTTCATTAGGTCGTTAAAGAGTAAGGTGGTCTTTGTGATCCCCTTTCCGTTGAACTTGCTCTCTTGGCACCCTGAATCCCTAGGGAGTAGGGCCTAACAAACTTCCTCCGTGAACGGAGAACTCACTATTCTTCTGCCACATTGTTTGGTGGGCTCTTAGGTCGTCAAGCATTTTTTTGCACTCGATCTAAATCTTCATTATGAGTACTCTGTTGCAGGCTCTATTCAGCCTTACCTTGAGTAACTGAGTCAGAGTCAATTGTGTGGCCTCCTCTGTCGTGCGCATTGATACACGAGTTGAGTCATGATGGTTGGTTGGTATGTTTACACATTCAAAAATATGGTAGGATTATTTTTATAGCCATAGTGAATATATTTAACTGTTTTTATAGTGGAATTTCATAAAAGTTTCAATAGGGCAAAATGGTCATTTCACAGTAATCACATGTCAAGTGAAAACTGAGTATGATAAATATAATGTACTATGTGTGCAGCCATGAAATGGATGGTAGAAAGGTTATGGACAATACGTGATGTAATGCGCGAATAAATACTGTTTTAAAGAAGGAGAAATTAAAGAATAAGGGTAAAATGATTTTTCAACATAATTAGGTTTATGATGGGAAGTGAAAATGACCAAGAACATGTGTTAAATCCATTGAAAGTGAGGCTATATCGGTAAAGCCGTATGACATAATTGAATATCATAAAAGTACAAGGGCAAAATAGGATATATATTTTATTTATATAAGACTTCAATTGACAAACCCTAACCATTTGCACACCAAAAAGGCCAGACCCTTCTTCCTTCATTTCTCTCCATTTCTCAAAGTCTTCCAAGAGAATTACATGAGAATTCATGCCTAAGTGAATATAAGTTCATTTTATGGCTTTCTAAGGTAAGAAGCAAAAGTTTGTGATTTTTGTTTTATAAGTATGAGTTCCATGAATTTATGTGTTAGCATGAATCAATGGAGAAAGCGAGCAAAGGAAGCAAAGAAATGGATTCTTGCAAAGAAAAATTAAGTGAGTCAAACTTCAGCCTTGTTTTGAGTCATAATTGTAATTGTTGATTATTGTATGGTTTGTATATGATGTATGGTGAGAATTGTTGGCCATTTAAATGCTTGAATGAGTTGTAAAAGTTCAGCCATGAAGAGTAGTTCATGTGCATGTGATGAATTGGCGAATTATAGATGAAATAGGATGAAGTATTGATGGAAGTAGGAATTGATTTTGGCCAGATTAGGAGTTGGGTTTGGTGGTTTTGTTTCATTTTGAGGTATTTGGAGAGATGTGAAACTGTGGCCAACCAAGTACTTGTATGTGCAATAAATTGTTTGATGAAAATTAAAAAGAAAAGCATGCATAAATTTGTTAAATATTGTTTGAGAAATGAAAGAATTGATGTTAAAAGGTGGTATTAGACTTGACCAAGTATAAGTTAATGTGTTTAGAGTGTATTTTGTTATGCCAAAATTTAGAATAACCTGATATTGCAGTTCAATGAAATGAATGACCTTTAGTGCATGGTTCAAGGCTTGAACTTTAGCATTAGTTTGAAGTCATATTGTATTAGTCATTGAATTATGAGTTTTGAAACTTATGACTTTAGAAAAGTGATGGTAAGAATTGCATATTAAATTGTTGCAATAGTGTAGTATTGATGATAGTAAAAGAGTGTGATTTATTTATAATATTACAATACCACATAAGTTGTCAAGCTTGTATGCTTGAAATTAGAAAGATCATCAAAGGATGGCTTGGCCTAAGAGTATATTGGTTTCTTGTTTGAGATTATTATAAACAATATAATAAGTGATTTTATTGTATAAAGAATAGAAGCTTTCCCAAGTATAGATATCAAAAGAAACATCAAAGAAATAGAAGTTTTGATTTTGTATTAAATACATGACCATTTTAGAAATTGAGGTATAAGTATAGTTTTCATGCCTTATTATATTACAAGCCACATAAAGTGCTAGAAGATCTTGAGAATATTTGTATTGGCCAAAAGTCTAGTTAGAATGTTAAAAAGAAATTAGAATTTAGCTAAAGTATATATGTTTGCCATATGTTAATTGAATTACAATGATTAATATGGCAACACTAGATTAATGTATAGATGTAGCCAAAAGAAAGAAGAAGAGGGATGTATTACAATTGAAGTTGATGGTGTTAAGAGAATGCAAATTTATGGCATTAAGATTTGTATTTAGAAAGTTGTACAAGGCATGTTTGTTACATTAGAAAATTTTAGAGAGCTGTTTAATGACATGGTTATGGGATATATAATTTGAGAAATCTAGTAGCATAATTGAGCAAGTTAGTAGATTAACATAGTTGTGGCATAGATTTTTATAGAAGAAATTAGATTGCCCAAAATGTAGAATTCATTCCTAGTTGAATTGTGTTTAATATCCCACTAATAGAATTATAGAAAAGTAGAATTTTGAGAGTAATATAATTGTGTACGTGTACATTTTACATAGCATGATAGAATGAAGAATTACAGAATTATGTAGAAATATAGAATCGCGTATGTACACATGGTGCATAGAATCTAGAAATAAAGAATAAAATAGAAAATGTTTAAGTTAAGCGTATTATTAGATAGAACTTTGGGCTTTCCAGAAAAGTATAGAAATAAAGCTTTAGAATTAATAGAAATATGTCAGGGTCAGACACGTATTTTGGGATCATGCATAGACAACACATAATACATGACATAGCATAGCATATATCTCAAGAATTTTAAAATTATTGGAAAATGTCTAGCTAGTTATTTTTCAGATTTACAGAGCAAGTTTTCATAGGACTGTTGCGATGGGGAACCTTTGAGCTTTTGCTACATTGCTAGTGGTGACAGAGATGAGAAGCTTCCACATGCAGTCGCCATCAGTGAGCGGCCCTCGGATAGAAAACAAAATTGTACAGTCCGCTAGAAGTGCATGTGGATGAGGACTGTACCTAGAAAGAATTTCAGCATACGCTCACACGGCAGAGTTCTAAATCCATGCCTCAGCATAGTCTGATCAACAAACCAGAGCAGAATACGGAAAGAGAAAAAGAAAGAAAAATAGAATAAGAATAGAAGAAAAAAAAAAGAATTTCAGAAAGAAAGGAAGAATTTCAAAAGAATTAGAATTTTTTTTTCAAAAGAATACAAACATGATCATTTGCATTGCATCAGACATTTTGTGTGCATTGCATCTTATGCATTTAGCATAGACAAAGAGTTATTTTATTATTGTGTGTGACTAGCCAAGAAAAGAAAATAGAAGCCCATGAGAATAAAGAAGAAAAGAAAATAGAAGCCTCGAGAATAGAAAAGAAATTAGAGATATACAAGAAAAATGATAGAAATTAGTACATGCTAGAAAAGAAAGAAATTAGAAACATGACAAATGGCAAGGAAACTTACGTATGTTGAGGAGAGAAGGAAATAGAAGGTGTAATCTAGTAGAGAACAGAAATAAAATGATAATAAAGATAGCCAACACTAGAAAGATTTGAGAAAAAAAATAGAGACTGCTAAGTAGTACGGTGAGAATAAAGAGAGAAAGCAAGCAGAAATTTAGAAGCAGTACAGCAAAAATGGGACAACGAAGTAAGAGCATAGTTAGATTTAATTTACTACACTGAGCATTTATAAATCATCCCGTTGCTTTCTTATTTTGTGGTATAGATTGTAGCAGTCGGGAGACGTTAAGCTGGCAATGATAGCACACTGTCCAGTGAAGGAATTAATATGGATTTATGAATATATTTTTGGTAGTAATAATATTTAGAAAAATATCTTCCATGCTTTTTGATTCATTAGAAAATAATTTTATTATTATAAATGTGAGAAATGGCCATTGTGTAAGAGTATTTTATAACTGGATTAAAAAAAAAAAAAAATTAGACGAACACTTTAAGCTAGCAATTCTCTGGATATCATAGGATACTTAGTGAATACTTGCCTAGTGAGAGATTACATTTTTGGTATCAGAGCAAGTTTTAGAGACCTTAAGATGTTTTCTGAAAGAAAGCTAGATCAGAAGCTAGTTATGGAAAGTGATAGTGTGCCTTTCAAGCACAAGACGTGCTCCGTAAGCTGACCGCTGATAGTAATTTTTTTTTACTTGGTGGGTGATGTTATGATGATTAATAGTAGTTGTGTTATATATTGATAGTAAGAATCAATAGAGATGTGGGTGACATGCCTAATCCTGCTAGCGTTTGTACACACAGGTTTAGATGAGCAGGGGTTGTAGTCTCATATATTTAGTAGCGGGAGAGTAAGCCTCTAAGTAGCAAGATTAGTTTTGGATCAATGACTGCAAACCTATTGCGAATTAACTCTAGAAAGAAAAACTTGAAGGTAAGTGGGCGCAAGGCCTGCATAGTGGTTTAGAGAGAATGGTAGCCTATTAGAGATGTGGTACAGTAAGAGACTCACATTTGAGATGGTACTATGCCAGCCACTGACATTAGTTACAGATCCGTGGGGTTCTAGAGAACCATGGTTAGTTAACCGATCCGGATAAAGTTGTTAAAGCGAGGAGAGGTAAGTATGAATCTAGTTAGATTAAATATCCCTGATTAAAAGGATTATTTGAGTATAAATTCCTAGGGAACATGAAGTAGAGGAGTATCGTTAGAGAAGAGTGAGATTCTTAGATGATTGTGATATGTTGTTTTAGAAAGGGCTATCAATTAGTCTCGTTTTAAAACCCGGACCGGCCGATTCGACCCGGAGCCGGCCTTTACTCCAGTCCGGGTTACATAAAAGCCTGGAATGTCATAAACATGCTACACCCTTTTGGGGATGCATTCAGTGCTTCAGTTCAACATGTTAGGTTGCCATCAAGTAATGGTAGTGGGGCTCAGGTTGATTCTTCTATACAGAAAGAGCCACGTTCTGCTGCTTATATGGGTGATCAGAAACTTCTGTCTCCACCAAATGGGAGTTTGGGTATTCCAAATCCTAGAAAACTGGGAACCAGCGTTGGTGGTTATTATGGGGGTCCTCCCGGCATGGGTGTGATGGCGCAATTTCCAGTGTCGCCTATTTCTAGTCCAGTGTTGCCATCATCACCAGTTGGTGGAACAACTCATCCAGGTCGGCGAAATGATCTAAGGTATCCTCAGGGTTCACATAGAAATACAGGTATTTATCCTGGATGGCAAGGGCAGAGAGGAGTAAACATCTTTGATGACCCCAAGAGGCATTCATTTCTTGAAGAACTGAAATCCAGCAATGCGCAAAAGTTTGAGCTCTCGGACATAGCGGGGCGTATAGTAGAATTCAGGCAGTGTTCTTCACTGAGTTTGTTTTCCTAAAGCCTTACATCATGAGATTGTTGTACTATCTCCTATATGAAAATTAATTTGCATGCATATCTCACTTCAGTGTGGATCAACATGGGAGTCGATTTATTCAGCAGAAGCTGGAACACTGCAGTGTTGAAGACAAGGTTTCCGTTTTTAAAGAAGTTCTTCCACATGCTTCAAAATTAATGACTGATGTTTTTGGGAATTACGTTATTCAAAAGGTATGCTTTTCAACAATATTTGGTCCTAAATGCATAATTATTTTAAGCAAATTATCTTGCTGGACTTTTGAACTCTGTAGTTAGTATGCTATTAATTGTTTCTTGTTGCATTCTGATTTATTACAGTTTTTTGAGCATGGAAGTCCTGAGCAGAGGAAAGAGCTTGCAGACAAACTTGTTGGCCAGATGCTGCCTTTAAGTTTGCAGATGTATGGTTGCCGTGTGATACAGAAGGTGGGCTAAGTTTTCTTAAATATATCTCTTTAAATTTAGTGGTACATTGGCTTCTTCTAGAGCATTTGTTTTGTGGTTACTGTGAGCCTTCAAGTGCTAGAGGTGTGAGCTGTTCATGATATTCAGCTGATTGGTGCTGGCTTTAAAAGCTTTTAGCCTTCTTTTATAGGCCCGCAGGCCTCACAAATGATTAAAGGGCCTTTAAGCTAGTTTAGTCATTTAGAGATGTTTGACTGGAATGTGAGACAATCAACAGAAACAACATCACCCTTTTAGGAGTAGATTGGGCAATCAGAGAAAGCAAAGTAATTTCCAAAGGGAAGGCTTTCAGTGTGGAAGAAAGATACCAAATTAAATAAGAATTTTTGCAGGGAATATTGTGGGGAGGGGGCAGAACTGGACTCTCCCTTTGAAGGAAGATCTGTCTTGTATATAAAAAGACGGATCCTTAAGGTAGTGAAGGCATATTGAGGGCTTTGCTCCTCATTGTGGATTCATTATAACTTATTTTTCTGATTTTGTCTGCTAAAGATGGTTATGCCCAAAGTCAAAAACTATTTATTACCACACCTGATTTTGTGAGACAGTGAAGCTTGCTTTTTTCCCTTCCCCTGATTTGCTCGAGTCTTTCTTTCCCTCACAGTGCTACACTTAGTCCTTTGATTTTGATCAAATCTTTAATTCATCCCATCTGCATAAATTGACTTTTTGATTTTTCAATAAGCGGGAGAACCGTTGAACCATTTGTATGTCATATGCAAATGGTTTTGTACGTTACTCATAATAGCCTCAAAATTGGTCCAAATTTCTGAAATTATTGAAAGATGCTTTGAAGCAATAGGTTGTTGCCTTATAGATTTTGTAGGGTAGGCAATTTGTCTAGAATTTTGTGTGTTAGATGTAATAAAGCTATCTGAGTTTTCATCATAGCTTTGTATGTATATTCTTGCTTTCAGTTAATCTTGTTATTCCTTTTACATTACATACTATGTTATGACCTTTTCTTTTTCTTGGTGTGTGTGTGGGTGGGTGGGTGGGTGGGGGGTCTTTTGAGTTCTAAGGGCCTGTGAATATATTTTCCTCAGAAAGAATGAATCAATTTTTGCTTGAATGAGTTCCAAGTATAACCGTATAGTCTTCAGTTTGAAATTTTAATATCATTTTCTTTGAATCTTGAATTTATTTATTTATTTATTTTTATCTAGGCCCTTGAAGTCATTGAGCTTGATCAGAAAACACGATTAGTGCTTGAGCTTGATGGGCATGTCATGAGATGTGTACGTGACCAGAATGGGAATCATGTGATACAGAAGTGTATAGAATGTGTACCTACAGAAAGAATTGGATTTATTATTTCTGCTTTTCGAGGTCAAGTTGCCATGCTTTCTACACATCCATATGGTTGTCGTGTTATTCAGGTAATAGAACTCAATTTCTTGGTTGTGCAGACTTCTTTTATTTATTTGAGATCCCATTTTGTTTGTTGAAACTATTATTTGTTTATCTTTTATTTTTTTTATTTTTCTTTTCTATAGAGAGTTTTGGAGCATTGTTCAGATGAACAACAAGGTCAATGTATAGTGGATGAAATTTTGGAATCTGCTTATGTTCTTGCTCAGGACCAGTATGGGAACTATGTTACCCAGGTAGGTATTGTGTGCTTTGTGCTGTTTACTTAATTCTTTAATTGTTGTTGGATAGCATCAGCTATCTATGAAGTGCTTAGAAGCAAGTCAATTTCTCATAAAATGGTGTGTTTTTGCTTCTTTATTCCAACAACAAATAGTTTATTGTTGTACATGCCTCAAACTGACTTCTTTGAATGAGTTGATTACCAAGCTTATTTGTCTTGATTGGACTTATAGTTCTCTTTAGCTTTTAGCACCAAGTTCATATACTTTGTTAAACAGTTCAGGCATTATTGGCCTTCATTCACCAATAGTCTTATGATCTCACCAGTTCATGATGTAGATGATTCCTCATTATTTGTTTGGTAGTTATTTGTCAAGATGGTTTGTATATCTAATTTGTACTAGACAGATTAATTGATGGGCTAACAGCATCATACAAATCTAATTTTAATACCGACTTTGTTTCCTGCACAAGTATGTATTTAAGTTGGAAGTTATTTATTACTCTTCTGCTGCCTCATAAGAAGAAAAACAAAATTGTATTAATGTTCAGCTTATAATGTTATGGTGTGGAACATAAGTTTTTAGCTTCCTTTAAAATTCATGTTTGTGTTCCTAATCAAGACACGAATATTGCGAATATTGAGTATAAAAACTAGAGTAATATAATTGACTTATTCCTTCTGCTCCCTAAAGTTTGAAAAGTGGTTTTTAGAAAATCAGTGGACAAAGTGGAGATTAATGCCTACTTGAAGGAGTACCTTAAGATTACTGCAATCTCCATAATATAGCCTTAAATGTTGCTTTAGATCCACTTAAGTAAACCTAAGGGCTCGGTCAAACTGATAGTAAAAAATATCTAACATTGTTCTTAACATCGTGAATGCGATTAGCTCCATTTATATGCATCGACTTTGCTTATCCATTGCATAAAGTGCATTTTGATTTTAGGGAAGTTCAAGCCCCCTTGGTTGGTATAAGACATATGCCTATGTAAGGACTTGCATGTGGAGTGTCTTTTTCAGGCAATGTTTGGTGGAGCAAACATATGGTGCCAAATTTTCTCTAGAATCAAGAAATTTTTGGACTTTTCTACTCATGATGATGTATATTTTTTCCAGTTTCTTTTTTTTTTTTTTTTTTTTTTTTTTTTTTAGTGAATTAGGGATTGATTCTTGGATTATTGGGTTTTGCTTTGTGCATTTTTTTTCCCTCTGATGTTGGATTGAGAATTTCATGCTCTTGCGAAAGGAGGTTTTTCATGGCTTTTATTTCCTACTTCCATATCTGGTATTATTTTGTTTCCTAGTGACAAAGATGAAGGAAAAGGATTTCTCTTCTTGTGAACTAAGGCTAAAGCACCCTCTAGGAAGTCTGCCTGTGGTCATCCCCCTTTTACTTTAGTATATGTAGTCCTTGACCAATGATTAGTATGAATTCTGATGTTACATTTACTAGCTTGCTTTGTGAATTAGGTGTGTGTTTGCAATATTATTCTTCTGTCTTTAGTGCTTTGTGAGGTTTCTGTTTTTAGTTGGTCGAAGTCATTGTTTGTATCAGTTTTTTACTGCCTAAAATTATCCACCTTTTCTGTTTCTGATCTCTCTGATGGTTTCATCAACTATAATATGAATTGGTTATACTGCTCGTAGCATGTTCTGGAGAGGGGAAAATCCAATGAAAGAAGCCAAATTATCAGCAAGGTGGCTGGAAAAATTGTACAGTTGAGTCAGCATAAATATGCATCAAATGTTGTTGAGAAGTGTTTGGAGTATGGTGATGCTGCTGAGCGGGAGCTATTGATTGAGGAGATTATTGGGCAATCTGAAGAAAATGACAATTTACTGGTGAGACAAATTGAAATCGTAATTTACAAATTCTACTATTATCATTTCTACGTCATTAGCCTTTTTTGAGGTGATGTCTTTTTTTCTCTTTGCTGACTCTTGAGTTCTTGAATTTCCATGTATCAGATAATGATGAAGGACCAATTTGCTAACTATGTGGTGCAGAAGATTCTTGAAAAATGTAGTGATAAACAACGGGTAGCATTGATCAATCAGATAAAGGTTCATTGCCAGGCTCTGAAGAAATACACTTATGGGAAGCACATAGTTGCTCGGTTTGAACAACTTTATGGTGAAGGTACATAAATCTCATATTGGTGCATGCACATATTTACAATCTTCTGTTATGTTATTTTTCATATTTATATGCTTTGGAATGTTTGCTTGCTCATGTAAGCACACTATGCATGGCTAACTGAAAGAAGCAAAAATCTCTAGATGGGACAAAGTATTGGCATTTAGATAAATCATTTTCGAGGAACGCTGTGATTTTTCTGAGCAATGGCCTTAGTCTTCATCAATTCATCAATTTTTTCTTCTTTTTGGTTTTTTATTTTCTGTTCAACTTCCATAGTCGACACACTTCTATCATACATTCTGTTATGAAGATTTCAATCTAAAATTCCCTACAGCCTTTAATGGATTCTGTTGTTGACAATCATTGACACGTTGCTGTTTCTATGATATCACCAGGATTACATGCATTTGATATCAATATCTATATAACATCAAATGTAGACACTGCATGCTTTATTGTGAACATTTACAGAAGGTCCATGCCTACCGGCATGGATTTGTGTATACAATTTTATGACTTCATCTTTTAACCTCTGTTGCATGATGATGATTCTTCAACCAGAGTATTTTGTCCATTCCTGAATGATACCAAGATCATTATAGATATTCTTGAAATCACGAGAAGACTTACCTTGAAGCTTATAATATTTATTACAAACCTCCTTGTAAGAGAGGTGTGTATTTAAGTTGGATGAAATTTATCCTTTAAGATAATAATTCTTTGAGGGCGCCACACTGTTGTCATTGCTTGCATTTGATGTCCTAAATAGATTGTTAAAGAAAGGTCTTTTGCTAATGTAATTTTTGTCGAAAAAGATTAAGAAAATATATGGTGTGTTTGATTTTATGCATGCATGCATGTGATATTTTGTTCTTTGATATAATCACAATAATGTTAATGTTGATCTCTCATGTGCAGAAAGCCAAGCCTCAGAAACTTCGGATGGATAGAATGGGATAGCACTTTCATTGGAAATTCTGAGAGGATTTGGTGGCAAATCCCAGTTAATTGTTTGGAAGAAGTATGCCACTTTAGTAATCTGATTCTAATACTTGCCAGTTTGATAAAGCTAGTTAGTAAATATATGTAATATATATAATATGTATGTTCAAACTGTGTATAGAAGTAATTAATGGTGATGTATTGCTTGGAGTTAACTTTTTCTATTTTCATATTTGAAGAGAGGGGCTTTCTTAGAGTGTCACATACCAATTTACTTAAAATTCGAGCATTTATATTACTAATATATACATATTAATAGGAGGTTCCATGGTATGTCAATTGTACTTAAGTAATTAGGTGTTATTTGATTTGAGTCAATACATTTTGAAGTTTATTTTCAAATTACAATATTTCTTTAATGGAGTTCGGTTTTTAATAAAATAATTTTTTATTAATTTATATAAGTTATAATTGCACAAATTCTAGATTTTAAGTCAGCATACTCGTGATGCATGTTTTGAGATTAAATGTATCAGTGACCCTCGAGTGGTGTAAGCCTGGGAATTTACTATCGATTTAATTTCATATTTCTTGAGATTAATTTTTGATAAACTTGAAACTAAGCACACAGGCCTTCGATATATAAACTTAAACTCAGTCATAAATGCAATTAATTAAACTTCAGGATTCTCTTCTGGACTTAAATTGTGCAAACCAAATTAACAATATAAAAATAATTGTTCCATCGAAATAAATATAAAATAATTGAAAAGGAACGTATTCAACTACTAATAGCTTCTTTACTGCTTATACATGAAAATTACAATGTTATCTAACTGAGTATGACATATATCAAAATCAATGCTAAACATACTTAAAAAAACCATTGAAAACAAAAATCAATACATATATCAATGAAATAAAACCATAACCTACACCAATATGAGTTGATCCAAAGGATCATTATTAAGGCCATGATAGTTGTGGCATATGATCCAACAAAACTCCAGCGGAATGCTACCATGTCAATAGAAGATTCATTATCATCTTCTTTTTCAATGGATGCTAGAGGTGGTGGTATTGGCTCATTAGTGCAGCTTTTCTTAATTAATTGGCCACAAAGATAAGGATTACCTTCATAATCGCTTTCATTAAAACTCCCAAACTGAGCTTGATCAGGAATGGATCCAGATAAGTTATTGTGTGCCACGTTGAAGACCTCCAAATAATTTAATTGAGTTAATTGTGTAGGAATTTGGCCACTTAAATTATTGTGGGAAAGGTCTAGGCTCTCTATCTCTTTCAGATTGGAAAAGCTCTTTGGAATAGGTCCTGATAACAAATTATAAGACAAATTCAATGCAATGATTCCTTGGAGGTCTCCAATTTTTGATGGGATTTCACCAGTTAATTCATTGTCTGACAGATCCAATCCAACAACCTTTCCAAGAGGATAACCCTTGTAAGACTCAAATCTATTTTTCATCGTAAATTCTACTTCAAGGGTTACTTCTACACTTGCAAATCCACTAGATTCTTCCTCCATAGTAATGGATGAATCATGGTTGTAAAACCCTTGTGCATCACTAGGAACATCGAAACCATACCTTGGAAAGAAATCTTTCCATTCAGTCTCTACCTTTCTCCAACGTGTCAAATTAGTAAAGCATGAAGGTATTGATCCATTGAGTCTGTTATGTGAAAGATCTAAGAGACCTAGGTTTTGTAGTCGACACAATTGGTTAGGAATATGGCCTTGTAGGTGATTGCCTGACAAAAGAAGAAACTTAAGAGCTGAATGATCATTAAACCAATGTGGATCGATATTTCCAGAAAATTTGTTCTCTCTCAAATCAAGTGTAATCAATTCAAAGCTTTCGAACAATGAACTTGGAATTGATCCACTAAGAGCGTTCTTTTGCATGTAAAGATAGCTCACTGATAAAAGATTAAAGTCAATTGCTATGGATCCAAACAACCTATTTTCAAAGATGTCTAGCATTTCAAGGCTTTTGAGATTGTTTAGTTGAATGGGAATAGTACCTTCTAAAAGATTCTTTGACATTAAAAGATAAGCAAGAGATGAAAAATTACCAATCCAAGAAGGAATTTGACCAGATACCTTGTTGTTGGAGATATTTAAGAAATATAAAAAAGTTGCATTTAAGAGCCCATCTCCAATCTTCCCACTAAAGTTGTTATCCAAGTATAACCACTGCAATTGAGTTAGGTTCATCTGTCTAGGAAAAATCTGCCCATGAAATTTGTTATCCGATAGTCTTAGTAATTCTAATGAGAAGCAACCATCAACAAAATGATTAGGTAACTCTCCTGAAAAATTATTGCGAGACAAATCCAGAATACTGAGTCTTTTCATTTCACCCATTGAAGAAGGAATATTGCCTTCTAAACAATTCTTTGACATGTCTATATACGACAAGTTAGGCAAAATTGTACCTATATTCTCGGGCAACTGACCTGTGAAATTGTTGCTGGAAATATCTACATGAAGTAAAATGCACTTAGAGTTGGGCACTTGAAGGATTCCTGAGAATGAGTTGTTCCTCAAACTTAGAACTTGTAATTTGGTGTTATTTTGTAACAACCAAGTGGGAAAGGTTCCAACCATCTTGTTATCAGAGAGTTCAACATATCGTAGATTGTAGAGGTATAAAAGAAAACCAGGTATGGCATCCAAGTTGCAATTCCGTAAGTTGATAAGCTTGAGGTAAGTCAAGTTGCATAGGCATTTAAAGTCTTGACCACCGAAACTATTGAAACCAAGATCCAATTCAGCCAAGTTCTTCAATTCACAGATTCCTAAAAATGGAGATCAAATAGATAAAAATAAAAGGTTAAACACTCATAAACAAATAGGTATGCGATTATAAAGGGAATTCTAGAATCGTATAAAAAAAAAGAAAAGAAATTAACAAAATGTTGATAATAAGAAAATGATACATATAGTTGAGGTCAATTCAATTTACCATTTAAAGATCAATTAGTTTTAATCACACTCACATTATGATTCAGAAAGTATTGCAACACCCTTGCTTTTAGCACAAAAATGTTAAAATAAATATATTAAGTGCACTATAGTTGTTTTATAGACTAAAAAAATGGAAGAGACTGTTTTTTTTGGGAGGTGCTATCTTTAATTTGACTACAAAACAAGTTCTATTTCCTAAAGTTTAGTCAATAGATACAGAGTGTATCATATGACTGAGAGATGTCATGGGTGTGTAATCTTCATGAAGTTTGATTTGTTAATTTGTATATTTGTTGTTTTGAGGAAATAAGAAATTTTGTATATGTAGACAATAGAATGTTTAGATTATTTATATGATTTTTACATCCTTGATTTTGTATTTGTTTTGTGATTCATAGCAGATCGTTACATGCTTCTTCTTTAATTTTAGATTTTCATAACTAGTTTAATTTCCATTAATTATTTGTTTTTATTTTGTTGTCATTTTCCCTTTTTAGTCTTAATCCTGCATGAGTTTTCTAATATGATATATTTAGCTTGAATTTTAATTAGTAACTTCATAATTGAATTATTCTCAATTTTCTTTTAAAGATCAGATTATTAATTATAACAATAAGCCATGCATATATTTGAAATCCGGTTGACTTCTATACATAGTTACCAACACTTCTAAGTTTCTTGAATTATTTAATCTAGCATCAAGAGAAAGGGGTTAGAGTTTAAGATACAAAGATCACCCTCCAATTACTCTTTCAGATGAAGGTTCAATTAGTTTACTTGAGCCAACTAGTTGGTATTTATTTTACATTGTCTTCCTAATTGATTTTTTTTTTATTGTCATTTATCCATGTATTATGCAATTAGTACTTAGAATGAAAGATGAATTATAAGGGTGCCATTATTTATTTTAACATAAAATTAAAGAATTTTTTTGTAAAATTTTAGATTTTGCATACCTAGGCTTGCCAAAGAGTTGTTGATTTGATTATGTTGTAGATCCAGTATTTTCAAATTTGTCAAATTTGCTGGACCTGAACCAATGAAAAGAAGAAATATAATTTTAAAATCACAGAATTGTTCTCGAAAATTAACTGAGGCCAACAGCTAAAACAACGAATATTTTACCTAAAGTAAGAGAGTCACCGCCCATTGCATTATGTCCCATATACAACTCTTCCAAGTTTTCCAAATTTTTTAAACCTGCATCAAGAGATAACTGGATGACAAAAGAAAGATCAAACTATACATTACATTCCCACTATTTTTGTATTAGAGGTTGAGCCAACTACTTATATACAATGAAGTTATTCGACCAATTAATCATGCAAATAATAATATTCCAATCTTAATTTGTAGAGTAGTGCCATACTATTAAACCATGTATATAAATTCTTCTACATAAATTGCTATGTTTATTTAATAGAGCATGTACACAACACAATTATACATACCTTGTCTTATATCTATATAAATTATTATTATCTAGTAATCTTATCCCAATAGAAAGAATTAGATATTAAAATACAAAAATACTCTTCGATAACATTTTGGATTCACAGCGTTGATATGATTCAATTAATTTATTTGAGTCAACTAGCAAATACAATGGAACATAGTTTAATGAGCTTAGTAATACTATACTATTGGTCTAAACGAACTCTTCAATGTATATTGATTTGGTAGACATGTTAAGTAATTGTCACTTTATTTATTTTATAAGTTCGTTTAGTTAATTCATTTTTGTATTATTGTTTATCCACATATCATGCAAGCAGTACTTGGAATAAAGGTTCAGTTATAAAGGTGCTATTATTCATTTTAACATTAAAAGAAAATTTTGCAATTTTTTGATTTTTCATACCTCTAGCATTTGCGATTTGATTATAACTTAAATCCAATCTTTTCAAATTGGTCAAATTTACTAAACCTGCACCAATGAAAAAGAGAAATAGAATTTAAGAATCAAATAGGAAATTATAGAAAAAATTAGATAATTATGTATTCTCAAAGATTAATTGAGTCCAACGGTTAAAACTACAAGTAATTTGATTTAATTTTTCAGAAAACTACTTTAGACTTAAAAGGTCAAGTTGTTATGAAAATTTTCAACATTAACATATTTAAATTAAAGGATTTAAAGTATTATGACAGTGGATAAGATTATTAAAATATTTTAATCTAAAACTTTGACAAATATTGGTTGTCATTAATGTTACCTAGCGAAGTAAGAGAACCACTCATTTCATTATATCTCATATTCAACTCTTCCAAGTTTTTTAGATTTTGTAAACCTGCATCAAGAGAGAGTTGGATGAGAAAGTAGGACAGTGAAGTAATCATACAAATAATAATATTTCAATCTTTGTATAGTAGTACCATACTACTAAACTACTTATATAAGATCTTTTAAATAAATTAATTGATATGTTTGTAATGTCATTTATTTAATTTTTAATTTTATGCAAGAGTACTTGTAATATACTTTTCTTCAGGTGTGATATTTATAGCATACCTAAACTTGCTAGAGAAGTGTTGATTTGATTATAACTTAGATACAAGCTTTTCAAGTTTGTCAAATTTGCTAAACCTGCACAAACAAAAGCAAAACCAAAAACAAGAGAAGAAACAGGATTTGAAAAGCAGGTAGAAAATATCAGATGATTATAACTATTGGTTGTCATTAATCTTACCTAGCGAATTAAGAGAACCACTCATTCCATTATCCATCATTTTCAACTCTTCCAAGTTTTTCAAATATTTTAAACCTGCGTGAAGAAGAGTGAAAGTAAAATATAGCTGTTATTACTTATTTGATGGGCCTTGGGCCAAATACTAAACTAACTATTGATATGTTTGTTATGTGATTGTAATATCACCTATTTTTATTTTTATTTGCATATTTGATAACTCATTCATTTTTAATTTTCCTTTGTATGCATTAATTTATATATGCACTTGATCTAACTTCTAATTTCTCTAAGTTTTTCAAATATTTTAAAAGGCTGAATGACATTTTCTCAACCCAAAGTTTGGCTAATGTACATTTTCCAACCCATGATCTTTTTAAAAAAAAAAAAAAGGGGCACAAATTTTATTAAAGGGTAATATCACTTACACACCTAAAATACAAATAGATAGTAATTACCTTCATCAACTTGGAAATTAGTCACTTAAAACTTCTATCTTCAATTTCTATTAAAAATCTGCTACCTTTGAACAGCAATTATAATTTTATTTAGTAAAAATCAGTTTATTAAATAAAAGAGAAAATTAAGTTTTTTAAACAAATGAAAAATGTATAAATTAATAAATAACTAGTTTTTAATAATTTAAGGGGAAAAAAAAACTACCGGGGCCCCTTTTATCTTTTTCCCACACCCCACTGCCCCAAAATTCTTCGCCCCAATTTTCTTTCATACCTGTTGCTCAGCTTCCCTCATCCCCCAAATCTAACAACCTCCAAAAACCCAAGTGCCCCACCTTCATCGTCTTTCGAAACCATTATGATCTCTAGCAGGGCCACCTTCTCTAATTTATTTTCTTCTTTCTCTTCATTCTTGTTTTCCCTCTCTCGCTATTTGTTTACTGTTTTCATGGATTTCTTCGTTTTCAAGGTGAATTTGATGGTTGTTTGGGGCGCACTGGTTGCTTGTGTTGGGTTAATATAATGTTTAGTTTGGGCATTTTTGTTTGTTGTGGTAATGGTTTAAGGGTGCATTGGTTGCCGGAATCGCATCTGGCTTGGTGCTATTCCAGGCCTGGTGTGAATTGGACGGTGGTGGAGGCTATGGCAGCGACGGTGAGTATGGAGTCTAAAGAGGAAGGGGCGGCGGTGGAGGGGCTTGTTACAACTGTGAACAGAGTAGTCAAGTGGCTAAGGACGGCGATGCTGTGAGAAGGTATGGTGGTGGCGACAGATCTCTTTAATTGGTGATATATCCTACTCTCTTTTATTATAAAATCTCTAGATGGGACAAAGTATTGGCATTTAGATAAATCATTTAGTTATATAAAATCTTTTAAATAAATTAATTGATATGTGATTGTATTGCTATCCATTTAAATTTTAATTTTATGCAAGAGTACTTATAATTATACTTTTTTTCAAGTGTGATATTTATAGCATACCTAAACTTGACAGAGAAGTGTTGATTTGATTATAACTTAGATCCAAGCTTTTCAAGTTTGTCAAATTTGCTAAACCTGTACAAATAAAAACAAAACAAAAAACGAGAGAAGAAATAGAAAAGTAGGTAGAAAATACAGAAGAAAAAAAAATAATAATAATTAAGTTAATATCTAAATATGAAATTGAAGCAATTTGAGAAGATGATTGTAACTTAATATTTTGATGGTTGTAGTTATTGTTACCTAGCAATGTTAGAGAGCCACTCATTCCATTATCACTCAAATCCAATTCTTCCAAGTTTCTCAACATTTTTAATCCTGCGCCAAGAGAAACAATCAGATTTTAAATTGAAAAATTAATTTTAATTCATAGGTTATCATATTGCAAAGAGTGCTTCAAAAATTTATGAGATATTGCATACCTAGGCTTGATAGAGAGTTGTTGATTTGATTCCCACCGAGATTTAATACTTTTAGGTTTGTCAAATTTGCTAAACCTATACCAAAGAATAAAAGAGATTTAGAGTTAATTAAAAGCAAGATTGATGGAAAAATTTAAGAAAAGAAAATATTATATTTATAAAACATTAGAGGCATGACACTAGTCAAGATTAGTTGGCTCACTGGAAACAACTGCATTTGGTTGATCTGTCATCAACTTTGTTGGATATATAACTTTACAACAATTCCAACAATATTGGTAACATGACACAACTGCTAGTTTGTCTATTTTAATAAAAATATAAAATTATCATTTGCATACATTTGAGAAATTTTAACTTATTATTTTTTTAGTTATTCGATTTTTTGATAATTAATTTTTATTTATAATATAAAGTTTTTATCTAATAATTTAAATGTAAGGTTGTTTTGTCCGAACATTTAACAATGGGTTCCATCCAGACTTCAATTCCATATTATTACATTTCAAAAGTTAAATTTTTACTTCATATATCTTTGTTGTTCTATCAATAAAAATAATTTCCGTTGAAATTCAATAAAATTTATTTCTAAATATTGTACTAAGAAAAATGAATATTTCAAGTACTTTCATATGTGCAAAAAGTCCCACCTCATTTATATCAAAAAGTTTAAATTAAAGTGTATATGGTAATTATACACATTAAGAAACAATTCTTATAGGTGGACCAATGAAAACTTTATATACACCTAAATTAATTATAAAAAATATCAATACTGATAATCTATAAAATTCTCATATCCTTACTTTCAATTTAATAAATTTATTTTTAAAATAAATGAATTTGTTTTGGACAAAAGTGGAATACAGTGATGCAGATTGCAGAAGTTGGGAGCAACAAGGATGGCATTGTCGTAGTTTTAAGAAAGAAGAGGGGTAAAATGAAAATAGAAATGCACAAGATTTCAGGAAAATATATATATATATATATATATGAAAGATCTTTTGCATTATTTTAACTTTATATTTTGATGGTTGTAGTTATTGTTACCTAGTAATGTTAGGGAGCCGCCCATTCCATTATAACTCAAATCCAATTCTTCCAAGTTTCTCAACATTTTTAATCCTGTGCCAAGAGAAACAATTAGATTTTAAATTGAAAAATTAATTTTAATTCATACGTTATCATATTGCAAAGAGTGCTTCAAAAATTTAATAGATATTGCATACCTAGGCTTGATAGAGAGTTGTTGATTTGATTCTCACGGAGATTTAATACTTTTAGGTTTGTCAAATTTGCTAAACCTGTACCAAAGAATAAAAGAGATTTAGAGTTAATTAAAAGCAAGATTGATGGAAAATTTTAAGAAAAGGAAACTGATTTTAAGAAAATATTATCTTTATATACAAAACATTAATGTAAAATCAAAATATTTGGGCACTCCAACATGAACAGTTAAAATTTTATCTATAATATGAGTATATATTATCTTTCAATTTGTCACTATATGTATCAATCATGTCATTACAAATAAAAATTGTAAATTATTATATACCATCAAACTTGAAATTTTAATTTCTTGGAAGAGAATTTAGGAAAACCAACCCAATTCAGATATTATAAATTCGTTAAACTGTTTAAAAAATATATCTCAAGAAAATGATTCATAATATCTACAAGGAAAATCCTTTAATATCAAGGTGAAGTTTCTATATATCAATTTAAATTGAATTTTTAACTTTGAATAAGTAAAATAAAAATAAAAATTGCTTCATGGGAGGTACCTAGACTTGATAGAGATCCATATATTCCATTACTGCTTAAATCCAATACTTTCAAGTTTTTCAAATTTGCTAAACTTGCAGAAATTAAAAAAAGAAAAGAAAAAGTTTAAAAAGTCATATATAGGAATCAACAATTGAAGGAGCAAAATCAACTATATATTCTCAAAGATTTTAGAGCAGTGATAAAAAGATGGTAATAATTTGATAAGTTTGTCAGATTAGTTCTATACCAGCACCAATACAAAGAGTTATTATTTTTTTTTTAAATAAGAAATAAAAAGATTAAGATTAATTAATAAGAAATTAAAGAATAATACTTAAAACATATATACCTTGTTTGGCAGATTTCAGACCTTCTCCCATATTATTCCAATAAAGATTTAAAGTGGTAAGTGAACTTAGATTATTCAAGTATGACAAAAGAGTGGCATTGAAGTGATTCCCATTAAGATCCAAGATCTTGAGTTGTTTCAAACACCTGAAGCCATCATATGCTGGAAAAGAAATGTCAATACATTATTGACTCCATATATTTATTCATTATCCAAAGAAAAACAATTAATGCATTAACATACACATATATAACCTAATATATATTTTTACACAATTTTTTTTTTTTTATGAAATTACTCTATTAATAGAGGACAAAATAGAAATTGTTAACAATCCAAACAGTATTTACAATTAATTAACAAAATAATAAGCATGCTTTGTAATTTAATTTTTTTGTATGATCTATTATGATCAACATGAATGTTAATTATGAAAAAAGTTTAAAAACTAAATAAATATATATTGCTATACTATTGCAAAAGTAATAATTGGAGTATATTTTAAACTATCTACTTAAATAATATACATACCTCATTCTCATGCCAACCTTAAAGTGATGTAAGATAAATTAAGACTTTCAACTCTTCAAAAGGATGAAACAAGGATAAATTTAGAGTTGGAAGTCTATCAGAAAGGCATATGGACTGAATTGCCTTGTATGATAAAGGGAGTTTGATGACACGTCAGTAGCGGTGTTGCATGAACTCCCTCCAATCACAACAATTAGACATTTATTATCAACCCATGAAACAAGAACTTCTTCCATTTGAAAATCACTAACTGCTTTATGAAGGACTTTACATCTACAGACCAATCCTCTCATTCTCCAAACAACTGTTGAATCCAGATGTTGAACCAAAAACATACAACCCAAAATGACAACTAA